TAAATGATGCGTCCTGATTGACAGGAACCTTGAGACTTCACTGATGGAGTTGTCAAAGCATTATGCTAACAGACTGCTCCACTGACTGCAGATGTACAGAGCGCTGCTATTCAAACAGCTGAGTTGTTATCTGTTCATTTTACCTTGTCTGTGTTGTAACTGCACACACAGTCTATTTCTGTGTGCTTTTCACTCTGATTGGTCAACCTTAACTTAAAGCAAAAGGAATCTGCTTTGTAAGGCCTAGTCCTTCTTGGGACGTTCTTGCCTAAGGGAGCATGTTTGAGTGTAAGCTAGCCCCTACTACAAGAACATTGAATGAAGCAAGGTGTGACTGATGCCTCACTTAAGAAGGTTAGAGGCAGATTGGGGTCAGTATTATTTTTTCTTTGCAATCACGTTTTCTGTTTGCAATTCCTAATTCATGCTATCCCCCGGCCACATCAATAAGCTAATTCAACTGCTCCTCTGCAGCATTCCTCCTTCAATCTTTGCTTTATTTTAAAGTTTAAAATCCTTCTTTTTCTATGTAAGGCTTAGTCACTTTTCATTTCATCCCACTTACACCCAAGAAGTAGTTGTGCTGCATTGGGTGAAGTTGGTGATGTTTGAAAGCTTTCAGTCACTTTCCCCCCCTACACAGCCAGGTATGGTTGAGTTCTTAGGGTCTTCTCACATTCTTCACATTTACATTTCCTCAACTTACATTTCTCCTTGAACCAGCCCAGAGGTTAACTTCTTGATATGTGTTGCGCAATCCATAGACCCCCGTTGGTTCAGACTGTTTTTTTCCTTAAACTGAGAAGCTATTTGATGAAGGAATGCTTTTTGGAAGACGCATGACATTAACTGAGATTCGATGAAGCCAAAATATTCACCCAATAGTATTTTTTTTTTAAGAAAAGGATCCGCTTTATAATACTTTTAACATCCTGTGTCCATGAAGGCTTTTTTTTTGTTAGTGTGTGTGTCTATAACTCTGCTTCCAAAGGATCCCCCCCCCCAAAGTTCACAGTTGAAGCTAACTTTTAAAAAAACATTACAATAGCTCTTTTTCAACCCCCCCTCAAAACAAGCCAAAGAACAATAAACAAATACAAAAGGAAAGGGAATAACTCATCAATAACAAAGGCCTGCATTTTAAAAGCCTTTTCGCTTACTTGCTCTCACATCTCATTCCAAGCAAAGCAAAGAGTCCTGCAGAGAAAATATCCAGAAGAGAGGGGAATACTAAAATAGGAATAAGCAGAAGGATGGGTAGGGGACATAATGGAGACAAGGAAGCTTGTGCTACACAGCAGTCGGGAGACACTTTCAGTGTCAATTCTGTGCTGTCTCAGACATATTCTTTGGTACTGGTTGATGGGCGATTGTGAGAACTGAAACTATTTTCCATTTAATGTTACAAACTTGAGTTACTTTCAGAAACATGTAAAAGTTACTTTTGAGGTACTACAGATTTTTTTAAATGCTAAAAATACATCAAAAGGAAACGTATTTTACAATATGAAGCCAAATAATATCTGATGGTGACCTAGAGATCTAACTGGATTTGTGTTTCTTTCTAAGGTGGTTATTTTTTAGTAACCATTTCCAATCTAAATAGTATAGTCTTTATTGTCATTGTACAAAATAAATACAACAAAATAGGTTTACATCTACATCTAAAAAAGGCATTTCCTTTAGATTTTGAAACTGTACATTTTGATATAAATTACACTCAGGTATAATTTTAAACAGTAATTCATCCTTTGATGAATGGATACTTTGCAAAGAATTGGTATTATAATTTATTTTGGAAGTCTTTTTTTGTCATGCCATATAACTTAGATTGTAACGGAAGGAAGAAAACTATTGGCATTATAATTTCCAGAAAGAACCATTTCCTTTAAATCAGATGTTAGTACATGTTGATTGAAAACTCACAGTACAAGCAGAATATTTTATTTGGCCTATTGTGGAACATAGCAATTCTGGTAAGTTTTGTTATAAATCCCATTAATGTCCCTTCCTATGTTCTTTGTGGCAGATGTGCATTTCTAGGCAATAAGGTCCATTTTGTTTGAAAAGAGATTCCATGGGGTAGTTATTTGGGTATTACAATTGGAAAATGTTTTTCTTCCTAGGAAATTGTAAATTGCAATTAGCAAACTTACGTTTCAAGTCACTTTAATTTAAAAAATTACATTTTAAAAAATAACAGCTAAATCTTAGTTTTTAGAACAGCATTAACAGTTTGGATCCCTTATAATCCATTCTATGTATTTTATTAATTTGTGGTTCTTATTCAGATGCCTGCATGTATCACAACAGGTTCCTAAGTCTTTATTATAGGAAGACAAATTCATTGTTTTTATCAAAACTAACCTATTTTGTGTTTGTGGGATGTATGGGTGTTTGTGGTGGGGAAAGATATTTTAAAATAATGTAGCTAGTGCTTGAGGGAAGGTTTTGTGTGTGTGTGTGTGTGTGTGTGTGTGCGCGCGCCTGCGCGTATGTGTTGTGCATGCATGTGTGCCTGTCTCAAGGAAATGTGTAATGTCTATATATTTTAGATGTGTATTTCTCTGTAAATCAGTGAATAATATAAATAGTGCAGATAGTGTAAATTAAAATACAATCTTCACAATAATAATTTATCTAACTGGGTGAAAGTAATCCCAGTTACCTACAAGGCAACAAAAATAGTTTTTAGCTGAACGTTGAGAAGCAAAATGCACTAAACATTATTACAGCATGGAATAATTATGTTGCAGATTTTATTTGGTGATGTGCTTGCTGATTTCTGCATAAGTGTTGATTTCTACTGTATATGGGTGCCCTGGTTAGTTTATGTTTCTACGTATGTGGGAAGGAGGGAGGGAGAGAGAGGAAGACAGACACACAGAGAGAGACAGAGAGAAATGTTGTTTAGCTTAGCTTTGGTTATAAAGGAATTACAGAGTATTTTTTTTCCAAAAGTGTTTTTTTTTTGGCAGAGTAACTTTAAAAAAAAATGGACTATATACAGAGCACACAACAGCACAATAAAATAAAACTAATACTGTATTTATTTATTCATTCATTCATTTTATATCCTATCTTTATTTTGAATAACTCAAGCTGATGTACCTAATGCTCCCTCCCCCTATTAAGGAGAGATATTGAAACCTCACAAAAATGAATGAGAATTATATAAAAACATGAAATGTATTATCACTTTGATCTTCTGTTTGGTATGTCTTGATGGCCTGAGTGCTCTTTGGGTAACCAAGAAATAAAATGTAAACTATGAGGTTGAAGAACAGTAAGCTCCCTAGCCTGTCTCGTGTTTTATTATTACTTTATGGATAAATCAGAGGATTTAAATGGTATTCTTTACAATGTAGGGGAGCTGTGAGAAATCTGGAAATGATGAACACTTTCTTTAAACATGTCCATCATTCCGTTACAGTAGATGTACTAGATCATTTTACAGCTTCTAGGGCAAGTTTGCTAGACCGCGTCAGCACCTCATCCACTCTGCTTTTTCAAGGTGAAATGGGGTTATGCTTATAAGGTTATGCCAAATTATTTCTAAAATATCAGTTTGAGAATGAGTCCTGAGATTCAATGGTCAAACATTAATTTGTTTGTTTTACTGTATTATATAATATATGTGATATTAGGCATAACCCTGATTATACATCACTTTTCAATGGGCAGAGATCCTACCACAGATGGATTAATGTAGCAAATGCTTGAGATATTCTAAAGTGATAGCTATTGGTTATCGAAGCTAAAATATTATTTAATTTTATTTGCATTCTGGAGCTTTAAGGCTCTACTAGTGAAAACTGAGTTAAAATAATCAGAAATCCTTGATATTGTGGCTGGTTGGTCTCAGTGTATATTAGATTATTATCTGCCATTCTAATACCCATATTTTTAAAAACCAAGACCAATCATTAGTGAAAGAGCTGCATTTGTTCTTTTGTCTGCTGATGGCCAAAGATAAAGTTTCTCATGGACTCCTGCTGCCATCTGCTGGAGGCCTAAAAGCAATGTCCAGAATAAGTTTTAAAAGCAGATGGCCATATAAAAAGATTAAAGGAAAAGAATCTAATGGGAAGATAAAATCATTGGAATTTCAGTGACTATGTAAAATGTATTAGTAAATAGTAAAAACTGAGAATATGTTTTTCCCTCTTGAAACATTGTCAGTCATTTTGATTGCATTAACATAAAAATCTGCACAGAAGCAAATTTATTTGCAAAGCATAGAAAGTTTATATGAGTTCAAAAACATTTACTTATTTAGCATAGCTTGTACTGATTATTTTGATCGTTTACTTAAATTGAACTTGTATTCTCAGAATTCTATGATCTTAGAGACTGCAACATGTGGCCTTTGTACTTTTCGGCAAAAAATTAAAACTATCTTTTTGTTTCATATTTTTGTTTCATAGAGGAATATCTTGATTTTTGTACATTAATAGGATAACTCTTAGACAAGTTATCAATTTTCTTACATTTACATATATACTTTTTGGAAGCATGATAGGGAAAAATGCCTATAATATATAATTTGTGTTAAAATAAGACAATAATTTTAGTTAAGGTTTGTAATGTACAAAATAAAAGTATAAAATATTTACAACACTTGAATATTTGCAGAAAGACAAAATTTGGTCTATTTGTTAAACTGTATATAATGACAAATACTGGATTACCGTATATATGAAATCTATAATACACACACATTTTAAAATATTAGTTTACTTTGTTAAAGATGCAAATTGTATTTTCTATTTTAGGGATAACCCAACAGTATTTTAATTGACTTATCAAATTTAGTCTGCTACCAATATCTTTTTAAAGTGCAACATTTCTTTTCTCATTTTCCGGGTATCCAAGCAAGATTAAGATATTAACACATACTTGCTCTAGATTTGAGATACTGTGCTCTTTTTAAAAAAATAATACTGCTTTGGTATATGCTTTTGTAACAGTTCCTTCTCATCTCTTCTCCTTTATCCAAGTACAAATTGCGTGTGTTGAGCCAACTTGCTGCAGAACTGAGCAAATACATGCCAGAAAAAGTTACGGAGGATACCACAAGTATCATAAGATCGCCAATGCCTGGAGCAGTAGTGGCAGTTTCCATAAAACCTGGTGACATGGTAAGAGCTTCTCTTTTCCTAATGTCCATTTAAATTAAGAATATTTTTCATTGAAGTATTAAAGATTTTTTTTTTTATTTTCTTAAAAAATCAGTAAGTTTCTCTGTTGAAAAAGCAAGCTTACTATTTTTGGCTCTTTTGGAGAGAAGTTGATAGTATAAATAGCCGACCTTGATAAACTTAGTTGTCCAATATTGTATAGTGGGAGGAGAGATGGAAAATTGTTCCTATTTATGCTGAATTTCAGAATGGGTTGCTCTGAAATAGGGACTTCATGTAATGATAGATAAATTTGTTAATCCTTCTTGAAGCAGTAATTTGGTCCTATAATCTACTTATCTCCAGCAGAAAAGTGCTTTCAGTCAGAACTTAGAAAAATCTTGTGCAAGACCAACATTAAAGTTAGATAGTTGGGATGTTATATACCAGTGGCAATAAAAAAATTAACCTCTAAGACCTGTAAAAATGAGGGGAAGTACTGATAATTTGCATTGTATATATTCATTAGACGTAGTGAAACATCCTACACACAAGTTGATGATTCCCATGGTTGGTTTTTTTTTGAAAACTAGGTGAGAATACTCCCCATGCCTACCATACCATTTATTACACATATGCACCCACGCACACTTACAACACTCTGGACATATAGACATGAAATACCTGTATTCTATACTTAGAAGAATTCCCCAGCTTAGCAACTAAATAAATTAGCTGGATGTTATTTTCATTAATTCACGTTGGTTTTATTTTATTAAATTTTACAAAAGAAAAAGCAGCTGGATGATGTCCCTGAGTTAGCATCCCATCCCTTATCAAAAACTAGAAAGACAAAGGATGCAAAGAAGATAAAAACATTTACATGCTGTCCAACTGACAGATAATTCATCTTCTGTGTTGTTATTATATTTTGAAGGAAAAAACTCTTAAGCCGAATTAAAAAAAAAACCTACTTGTAGAATTTTTTTCTACAGTTCTTAAGTAAATGCATAAATGTTGTGAACTTTGTTATTACATAAATTAGTATGTAAGTTAGCTTCAGCATAGTTTTACCGAAACATAACCTGCAAACTCTTCACTTTTTATTGTTGCCCCACAAAAAAGGGGAGGTTTGCTTGCATTTGCACACAGTTTGAAATATTTTACAGTTACGTTTAGTTACAAAAAAGACAAGTAATTCATTTTAAAGTGTTGCTTTAGCTAGATTTCCATACACACACCAACATGTGCTTCAGAAATGACCTCTTTAGCTGAACAAGTTGTACTTGAGCTTTGCTCTCAAAAATACATTATTTTGTCTCTTAATCTTTACGTGCTCCCTTTTAAGCTCTGAGAAAGTGTTTGTAAGAATTTCACCTTAACATATATTATCATCCAGAGGAATTGAGCAGATATTAGAAAGATATCTATTGCTTACTTTTCCTCCTGTCCTATGAAGGTGCAAAGCCAGCCTTTCCTCTATGCCAAACAGTTGGAAGAAATGAGGAGGTAGAAAACAAATATATTTGTGTGTGAGTGTGGGGAAGAGTGGGTATTTTCTATTAAGCCTACTTTATTGTAGTAGAATTAGACTGAGATTCAAATAATAAGATGCTAAAAAGTGCATCTTTTTGTTGAACTGCTTTTGTTGAATATTTTGTCTGCATGAAGAAACAGAACTGTAAGAGGATGGGCATTGAGCCAGGAAATTAAAAACGGAGAAAGCCTTCTTTTCAGACAATCAATTATTCTAAAAGCAACACAGTGGAATCCAAAGAAGTTGTTAAATAATGAGAGAGATTTCTTCCCCTATTTCTGCCCCCCACCCACTCACCCAACACCTATGCCTGCAGGGTTTTGCTGGAGGCACCGAGAAGCAGGGCTTCTGAACAGCTCAGGGTGATTTGGCCTTGTCAATGATAATTGGGCAGCTTTAATTGCAAAAACACGTTTGTGGCGTTGAAAGGGGGTTTAGCGTAAATCCTTCCTTTCCAAGACTGATGTCAAAAAGTTTTTTTCTGAAGGGAGATGAGTTTGTATCAGGTCCCCAGACTGAATAAGTGGTGAGGTGGTACGATTCGGCTTATATGTTTTGGCTGTCCATCAGGACAAAGATCATTATTGCAGCTATTCAAAGGCCTCGTGATTCTTATACACCAGGGGTTTTGTTCCCCTGTTTGAATGTGTCTTGATTTGTGGTTTTCCTCTCCACTGTTCAGGCAGCTTAAGGAGTACTTAAGTACTCTTTTTTATTTTCTAGTGTATTTACTAGTTAATAATGTAATGAAGTGTGAAACAATATTACAAGAAATGTCAAAAACATTTTCCGTAGGCCATTATACTAAACTGGTAGATATGAGAATTGATTATCAGTGGAGTTTAGTAGTGCATGAGAATGGGGGTCAGAGATGACATTTTATTTTGTGATATCTCACAAAGAGGCTTCTGTTTTGCAGAGTGCAGCATCATTATAAGAAAATATTAGGATGGCTATAACTTTCTTTCAGTCTAAGGCCTAGGCATAGACTGAAGTTGTAAAATGATGGTGTTTATTTCACTCATTATTATTTTTTTGTATTTTGATTTCGCTTAAGATACTATCTGCTTATCAACAATGAGATAAACATTGTATTGTGATGAACACAATTGAGGTTTTTTATAGTTTCTCATCCCCAGGTTTGGAAAAGTATGGGCCAGGCCCAAAAACTAACCAGAATGTATACAGTACTGTACTAAATGATAAAGGACTAACTGTTACTGAGATCAATATATCTTAGAGATCTATCCTTTACTGAAAGAGAATGCAGCTATCACATTATATTGAAACAAGCAGGAATTGCTGATAAAAGGGAATATTTATAGTTCATGGTTGAACTGTGGGATATCTGGTGCTTTCTGAGTTTGGTGGCTTTCTTGCAGATGTTTCATTACTAAGCTAGGTAACATCATGAGTGTGCCAGGTACCACATGAGTAGGAATTATTTCTACATAATGGTTTGTCTACCTTCAAAAGAACATACGATTTTAGGCCTCTTGGCCCATCAAATGTATTAAAGGAGGCATTACTCTATCTTAACGGGTTCTCTATAGTGAAAAAAACATCCACAGTGTACATCTTACTTAAATGTGCCCATTGGAGTCAGTCCATTCCAACGTAGACAGTCCATTCCAATGTGTATAAATATCAGAGTATACCAGATAGACTTTTCTCATTAGTCATGTGAAGCCCCTTTGATGAGATTTCTTTGTTTTTCCTGTAAGTGAAAATAGGTATCCCTTGGGTATATCATTGGAACTTTTCAGTTTGCTTTATAGGGAAGGACTGTATTAGAAAAAGTAGCTCAAAATGTTCTCATTCACACAGAACTAAGGATTCTTTATGTAGTTCTCTGGTCATTTTTTTCTTTAAATTAACATAGTGGATTATTAAACTAAACTTTTAACTTTTTAAATTCAAATAATTTAATATTAATGTTTGATATTTAGGAATTTTAGAATCAAAACATTTATTTATTTTACTCAGAGCTGCTGAAGATTATCTCTGCTCTTGAAAGAGTACAGATTTTGGGTTATATTCAGGAGGGAGGGAGGAAGGAAGGAAGGAAGGGCATAGCCAATCCTCAACAGTGAGTATAAAATTATTTTGTTGTGTATGAAAAGTTACATTGATAGGAAGAAAGTTGAAGGTCATAAAAGTAAGTACAAAATCATTTTGCATATGTGCAAACAGAATGGTACTCTTTAAATAGTAAGTGAATTGAGCAATAGATTTGAAGTTAAAAGAGTTTGATAAGGAGATCAAATTAAAAATACTTTTTGTTTGACGGCATCTTAGTCGGTTTCTTTTATATCACATAATGTTCTCTTTTAATGTAATATACATTTATTGTATTAACAGTGAGTACTAATAGCATTTCCAAGTTTGAACTGGGGTAAATAATTATGGACATATGCTAAGCGCATTACTCTATGTTACATGTAAATAAGCGAAATTCCAAAAGTGTTGAATTATAGTATCCACCAGAAGGCATTGAATTACTGGTTCAATTCTTGTTGGGAATCATCAGATACAGGTAGCCAAATGTTAAGGTTTTGAGTGGGATCTCTTAACAGAGCCTTATCTTTTCTTTACTTACGTTTAAATATAAGTAATATTTTTTGAAGACACAACCATATTAGCCTAAAACAAATTTTAGACATTGAACATCAATATACATGAGCTATTTATCATGAGAATTCAAAAGAATCTTTGAATGTTCACAATCATCAATGCTTCAGACCTACTTTTTTCCTCTGTCTTTTTGTTTTATTGAGGAAAGTATATGAATATGTGCCATAGTACAATGAAGAATATCTATACCAGAACATCTTGAGGGAAAAAGAACATAAGTACAGAAATAGTGTCTTTTTTTTTTTAGAAATGGCTTGAACCTAGAACGGTTTGGCCTATGATAAATGCAGGCAGCAATCATTTCAGATCCAAAATGAAACATGAATGTCCCTTTAGATATCTCATGGGAGAACTGAAAGCATTCACTAGTCAAATGGAAAGTGTATGATTTCAGAGTTATAGTGTTCAATTTTAGACTCACACAATTTAACTCTCTAACACTCAGTTTAAAAAGCCTAAGAAAACTATATCTTGCTGAGATTACAGATAATGCCCTGCCATTGTTTGATCTCTCAACATGTTGAAATGCAGCAATCTAAAAACACCAAGCACTTTCCTTCACTTCACTGAGCACACTATAGGAGTTGGTGATTTCTTGTAAAATATGAGGTTGGACTTCAAATATCCAACCTGTTGCTTGTAATCTCCTTTAATGTCTTCCATGTTCCTCAGCTATTATATTTCAATTAAATACTCAATGCTTTAACGTTAGCAGAGGTTTGAAGCGGGCAAAAGCATTGGTATAATTAAGGCTGTGTTTATTAAAGTACTTTTTTTGAAGTTTTGTATACAATTTAATGGATTCCAAATATTGTTTGCTGTATTTAACATACCTATGTTAGTAACTGAT